CCTCCAAGCCACGCTCTGGACTCACTTCCGTTCACGCCGTTATGACACTTGCTGGGTATCAATCAAAACCCATTCTTTCGTCAAATCTATACATCAAAGTTTCGACTTTTATTGTTCTGTATTCTTAAATTAGAAACCTTTTTTTTTTGTTGTTGTTGTTGACACAGATCGTTGACAGGTAAGAAACGAGTGGATGAAAGCGAGAGCTTGACTCTTGAAGGTATACGAAACTCTTTGATTCGTCAAGAAGACAGTATCATATTTGCTTTGTTGGAGAGAGCCAAGTACTGTTACAATGCAGATACTTATGATCCTACTGCTTTTGACATGGATGGATTCCATGGCTCTTTGGTTGAGTACATGCTCAAAGGCACTGAGAAGCTTCACGCTAAGGTAACTTAATCCTTCCCTAATTGCTGGAACCTCCTCAATTGCTGTAATAAAAATCAAAACTTGATTCTGTTTATGAATGAATGATTTTAGGTTGGTAGGTTCAAGAGCCCTGATGAACATCCCTTCTTCCCTGATGATCTACCAGAGCCTATGTTACCTCCTCTGCAGTACCCAAAGGTGCTTTTATAATATTTGACTCTTTTGTGGATCAAAGCTAGAGTCTTGATTAGGTTGGTCTGTTCATGTGTTATCACTTCTTGATGATGCGGTTTCTCAATCTTGTTTGAGCTGTGTTTTCAATTTCTGTACTTGGTGCTAAGGCTTCAATTTTTATATCTTATTCATATAGGTTTTGCATTTTGCGGCTGATTCGATCAACATAAACAAGAAGATATGGAACATGTACTTCAGAGACCTTGTTCCGAGACTAGTGATAAAAGGCGATGATGGTAATTACGGATCAACTGCTGTCTGTGATGCTATCTGCCTGCAGGTTCATTTTCTATCTTCTCTCAAGAGCTTAATTCCTTTTATAATTCCATACACCACTCATGTAGTTTGTGATGACTGTTGCAGTCTCTTTCGAAGAGGATCCATTACGGTAAATTTGTTGCAGAAGCTAAATTCCAAGCCTCGCCCGAGGCATACGAGTCCGCCATCAAAGCACAAGTATTTATCCACTTATCCATAGTTTTTTATCACCTGGATAATGAACCACCCAAAGTTTATGAATTTGTTGCTCACCTAAAAATTGCAACACATGCGTTGCAGGATAGGGATGCGCTGATGGATATGCTGACATTCCCGACTGTGGAGGAGGCGATAAAGAAGAGAGTTGAGATGAAAACCCGAACATATGGGCAAGAAGTGAAAGTGGGAATGGAAGAGAAGGAAGAAGTAGAGCAGAATGAATCGCAGGTCTACAAAATCAGCCCAATCTTGGTTGGGGACTTGTATGGAGATTGGATCATGCCCTTGACAAAAGAAGTTCAAGTGGAGTATTTGCTCAGGAGACTAGACTGAAAACAGAAACGGCTTTGGTAGTAAAGTAGAATGTTTTTTGGTTTTTTAACTCTACAGAGCTGTGAAGACGCTCTTACACTATAATTTCATGTTTGGTTCCACTGTACAAAGCTTGCCAGTGATTTCGAAGGTTACTTCACCACTGCTAAAAGTGTCGTTTATATTACTATTAAGCCAACTTTTAGGTGACCTAAATCCATTTGACAGTTGAATGCTTTTATACTCCTCAAGGACTTTTTGTGCAAGGAAACAGTTAACAGTATCTTCTTTGGCTTTCTTTATAGTATATGTTGCGTGAAAACTTCTTCCTTGAAAAAATAGTTGGTTCCTGTTTTTCCAATTCATCAAGAGAACTCAAGGTATAGTGTACAAAAAGTAAGAGACTTGATGTATAGTGTACCAAAAGTAATAAAATTTAACCAATGATCAAAATCAGTTAGGTGTTAAATTAGATTGTTCAGCAGCATAGGACTTCAACTTGAATTTCTCTAAAAATAAATTCCATAAAATAAAACAATAAACTCTTTCATCATTGACAATAAGAAGTAAAGGAAATCTAAATGAAAACAAAAGGAGATCAATTTAAATTTAAACCACTAGCTGCCAAAAAACCAAAACAAAAAAACACTAAACAACTTATTAATCTCAAACAAGAAGTCCCATATGCTTGAGTAGTTGATCCGAATGCTTAGGGATGATGATGTCTGAAAGTGCGTAACCACCTAGTGAGACGGTCAATAGGCGAAAACTTGGGCACTTTGGGCAGTACTGGTTGCACCAATGACCTGTCTTGGACCACGACTCGTAGCTTAAGCCCAGCCTCGCAGTGAGTCGTCTCTGAGCTTATAAAATAGTGAACTCCTGGTTTTGTGAGCCTAACGAGATCGTGTCCTGTCTTGTGCACAGCTACAGGTGAAGTCGGGTCGCAATAATTGAACTCAAGATGACCGTTGATTTCTAAAACATCGTTGACTTGGTTGTTGTATTCGAAATACAGAGAGTCTCCAACATGAAACTGTTTCTCCTCGCTCCACTTGTTGTAGAAGRCACTGCCGTAAACATTCCATCCTTTGGAGTCACCGACCTTGTACAACTTTCCAAGAGGAAGTATCTTCCTCGGTGGTGGTGGAGGAACCGGACGTGACGGGTCATGGACGACAAGAACGTTGAGCTTTTGTCCATTTAGGCATTGAGTATGGTTTGAGCTAACAAAGTAGTAGAACCCTGGTTCCGTGAAGGTTACGACGTCGTGTCCCGTGTTGTATACTGCTTTAGGATAAGAAAAGTCGCAGAATTCGCATTCCATAGCGCCCGAGACTTGAGTCACGTCGTTCAAGGTGCGATCGTATTCGAAGACAAGAGAATCTCCCACGTGGAATTCTTTACCCTTGGTCCAATCGTAGTAGACGTCCTCCTTTGCAGTCCATCCATCGGAGTCTCCGACTTTGTAGACCTTCGCCGAGCAGCAACCCAAGAGAACCGTGAAGATCACGAGCACGAAGCAGAAGATCATCTTCTTTGTTGTATCCATGTTTCGCGATGTTAGACAAGAAAGATGAACAAATCGAGAAGCTAAGAAAAATATGATATTATTGTGAGGTGATGAATATTGTTGTGAGGTGAGAATGCATAGAGCCTAACCACTCTTTATATAGTGTTATACGATTCCTAATCCTTTTCTTTATAGGA